GAAACTCATCACTCCCTCACATAGAGACCTTTGTCCACCAGCACCAGAAAACCCTGCCTCTGTAAAACCACCGTCCACGTTGCACGCAGCCCCCGAAGTTGATCCATCTGCTGAGGTCCTTGCTCCTGCTCCTGTCGCCTCAGAGGACTCAGCACCAGTTTCTGTTTCCCGTCGCCGCCGCCGCCATAGAAGATCAGTTCCTGCCGCCGCCGCCGCAGAGGAGTCAGTTCCTGCCGCCGCCGCCGCAGAGGAGTCAGTTCCTGCCGCCGCCGCAGAGGAGTCAGTTCCTGCCGCCGCCGCAGAGGAGTCAGTTCCTGCCGCCGCCGCAGAGGAGTCAGTTCCTGCCGCCGCCGCAGCAGAAGAGTCAGTTCCTGCCGCCGCCGCAGAGCCACAGGCCTCTCTGTCGTCTGCTGCAGAGCCACAGGCCTCTCCGTCGTCTGCTGCAGAGCCACAGGCCTCTCCGTCGTCTGCTGCAGAGCCACAGGCCTCTCCGTCGTCTGCTGCAGAGCCACAGGTCTCTCCGTCGTCTGCTGCAGAGCCACAGGCCTCTCCGTCGTCTGCTGCAGAGCTCCAGGTCTCTTCGCCGTCTGCTGCAGACCTCCAGGTCTCTTCGCCGTCTGCTGCAGACCTTCAGGTCTCTTCGCCATCTGCTGAAACTCCGCAGGCCTCCATGAGAGCAGCAGCAACTCCCCAGGCCTCCATGAGAGCAGCAGCAACTCCCCAGACCTCCTCGTCAACTGCTGCGCTCTCCAAGTCTCTAGAGGGGTCGACGCCCTCCAAGTCTCCAGAGGGGTCGATGCCCTCCAAGTCTCCAGAGGGGTCGACGCTCTCCAAGTCTCCAGAGGGGTCGGCGCCCTCTAAGTCTCCAGAGGGGTCGGCGCCCTCTAAGTCTCCAGAGTGGTCGGCGCCCCCCAAGTCTCCAGAGGGTTCGGCGCCCCCCAAGTCTCCAGAGGGGTCGGCGCCCCCCAAGTCTCCAGAGGGGTCGGCGCCCTCCAAGTCTCCAGAGGGGTCGGCGCCCTCCAAGTCGCCAGAGGGGTCGGCGCCCTCCAAGTCTCCAGAGGGGTCGGCGTCCTCCAAGTCTCCAGAGGGGTCGGCGTCCTCCACTACCACTGAGGACTCGCCTCCATGGTCCTCCATGTCGGCTGCTACAGCTCCCCAGGACTCTATGGCGCATGCTGCGTCCTCCCAGGTTTCTACGCCGCCTGACGCGGCCTCCAGGGCCTCTACGCCGCCAGACGCAGCTCCCAGGGCCTCTACGCCGCCAGACGCGGCTCCCTCGTCGTCTACGCTACCTGACGCGACTCCCTCGTCGTCTACGCCGCCTGATGCGGCCTCCTCGGTCTCTTCGCCGCCAGCTGAGGTCTCCAGGGTCTCTTCGCCGCCAGCTGCGGTGTCCTGGGTTTCTTCGCCGCCAGCCGCGGCCTCAAAGTCGTCTGCGCCGCCTGCCGCGGCCTCCAAGTCGTCTGCGCCGCCTGCCGCGGCCTCCAAGTCGTCTGCGCCGCCTGCCGCAGCCTCCAAGTCGTCTGCGCCGCCTGCCGCGGCCTCCAAGTCATCTACGCCGCCTGCCACGGCCTCCAAGTTGTCTACGCCGCCTGCTGCGGCCTCCAAGTTCCTATGTGTTGGACGGCCTCCCTGCCGACCCCCGGAACTGGCCCGGCTTGATGGACGGCCTCCCGGCCGCCCCCCGGACCTGGCCCGGCTTGATGGACAGCCTCCCGGCCGCCCCCCTGACCTGGCCCGGCTTGATGGACGGTCTCCCGGCCGCCCCCCTGACCTGGCCCGGCTTGATGAACGGCCTCCCGGCCGCCCGCCGGACCAATGACACTAGGGACGGTCTCTTGACCGCCCAGATCTTTTGTGTTTTCCTGCTTGTGTTTTGCCTTAGTTTTTGTCAGGTCTTTGCTTTCTTCCTTGTGTTTCCTCGGTCCCTCCACCCTTGCAGTGCCGCCCTCCACCCGCCCAAGTCCTTCGGGAGGGGGTTTTTTTGGGGACGCCTGGGGGCGTCCTTGAGGGGGGGGTACTGTAAGGATGGTACCATTTGGTGGCTCGGTTTGTGTCTGTGTTTCCCTAGTGTTTTCTCTTTAGTTTAATTGGTGCCATCCTTGTCTCGTCACAGCTGTTAGTAATCACGTCTCGTCTTGTCCTTGTATATAAGCTGTCTGTTCAGTCTTGTTTTTTGTCGCGTCGTCTTAGTTGGGTCCCTGTGTCTTCTGAGTCTTCTGAGTTTCCTGAATCCCTATGAGCTTCCCGTGCCTTCATCCCGTTTTTGTAAGTTATGCTGCCTCGTCAGCCTGTTATTTTTATATCCTGATGCATGCTCAATAATCCAGGTAGAAAAATCCAAAAAAGTTCAATCTGGTCCTCTGGACATTCAAAAAAACAAAAAACAAAACAAAGCAAAAAAATCTAGAAACGTTTCGTCTCTCATCCAAGAGACTTCTTCAGTCTGAGGTGCTGTATTCAGCTCAGTCTCTTAAATAGCACCTTTTCAGAGTGGATCAACCAGTTTGCTGCTGACAACCAAAACCAGCTGATCACATGCTCAAGAAGGACCATCAGCCTAACAATGGGTCATTAGCACACTGATGGCTGTTTACTACTCACAGAGGGCTGAGTGATACTAGCAATCACAGCATTGTAAGAGGGGGACAGTTGAACCCGGAGGCCTCCACCCCTGTTTAATGATGGACGATTTCTTTTCACAAAGATGGCCTCCTTCACTCCTCTCTCAAACCATCGTTCCTCTCTGTCCAGGATGTGAACATCTTCATCCTGTTATTTTTATATTTTATTATTATCATTAAATTTCTATTTTTTGTACTTCTGCCGATTTGAGTCCCTGTCCGCACTACTGGGTTCGCCCTGACCAGAAAACCCTGACAAAGAGATGTGTTCAAGCTTTATTTATGTTAATCAGTCTGCTATCTGGCATGATTTGATTGCTTGTAAAATATTAAATGTGAACTTGTAAAATTATCCTTAGCTAATATGAGATTATATTTAAAGGTCAACTAGTTAGAATTAGCAAACATTTTCTATAAATATAGTGCAACCCTGGAAGAAAGACACACACACACTTTGTATAACATGACATTTGAATGCTTGATAGGAAATATAAAAAGGTATAAAAATATGAAATCCAACAGTGTAAAAAAAAATAATAATCATTTTTAAATCGCTTCAGCAATTTAAAAAAAATTTTTTTGTATAAAAACAAAATATTATTTTATTTAAAAATCGCTTCCACCGTCCGCCTGACTGCCGGGTGGGATCGGGATTCAGCCTTCATGATTACACGCGGCCGGGGTCTGGCAACGTCCATCTGCGAGTCCCCATCTCCAGCTTTGCAGTGACCAGCGGAGCTCTGAGCACACAAGGCTGGTATCCGGAACCCGAACCTCCAAGTTGGCACATCGAAGGATCTTCCGCGGTGACCAGCTGAACTTGGAGCCGGGGAGATGACGCTCTGCCCGGTCTGGCGCTCGGAGGCTCCGGAGGGAGGATCGGGGTGCACCAGCAGAGCTCCATCCAGCTTGCTCTAAATTATGTTGTCGGCCACCAAGCACAAAAAATGCCAGCACATCAACATTAGACCAAGATGTTGTCAGTATTGTTTTAAAAATCTTTAAAATAAATCCAGCCGCTGCTCCAGTCCAAGAAATTGCAAATGGCGGATTATTGTTTTGAAAAGTTTCTGAAGGATCCAGTGACTCCGCCTCCGACTCCGCCCCCGACCAATCAGTGACCGACAGTGTTCTGATGTCACGTTTTTGTACCTCTTCGTACCGGTTAGAACCACAGAGCCAAGGGTACTGAAAATAGTAACAGGTGCTAAGTACCGGTACTAAAGGAAAAGCCTCAGAACCGGGCCAAGTAGGGTACAGTCGGCCCGTACCGGTACTAATGGAAAAGGGGCATTTGTGTTGATTTAGTGAAGAATGGCCTCTGAACATTGTCCTCTTTTAACCACCATAAAACTGAAACATACAAAGCATGGTATTAGCTAACTGATACAGCAAACTAGCTTGTTTCACGCTTACTGCAAGCTAACAAAATAACATGTTCATAACTCACTTAAATGTACATAATAGCTTACCATTTTTATATAAAACAAGAGACAATTATTATTTTTGCCATATCCCCTACTGACGGACAAATCTTGTCCAAGGCAACAACATTTCAAGTTTGATATCTGCATTCAGCCATCTTGGATTTTCTGCTTCCTCTTCTATTTTTTTCTTAGTAACCAAAACATTACAAAGCAACCACTAGAGGGCGGTCTAAGACAGTTTATAAACTTAAATCGGGTAACTCAAAAGGCAGAACACTTGAGTTCACTGATTATTTTCTACTGGTTTTCATTTTTATTCCAGGCGTGTGTGAAGCCATGCTCGACCCACAAGACGATGGTCTGAGTGACGTTCCTGACTACGACTTTGAGGATGAAGCCTTCCCTCCTCTTCCTCCACCTTACTCCCCCGGACAGGGGGGAGGTCAGGAACAGGGAGAGCATTTTGGCGGTGGTAAGGCTGCTGTTCAAATATTTTCATAGCAACAATTTTTTTACGTGAAAATATAATTTTTATCAAGTCTCACCATGGAAACCACTGCAATTGTAAACTGATACTTTGTGATCTGCTGACCTGTTGATGTTTGGTGATGTTGTGTTATGTTTTGTTGACATGTTATAGTTTGCTGTGTTGTTATGTTTTGTTGACATGTTCTGTTGTGTTGTGCTCAGTGCTTAATTTGTAAACTGATTAATGCCAGAACAGCGAGCAGGGGGAGGGGGGGGTCGGTGGTCCTCTCAAGGAAAATGTTGAATAACAGAGATACCATTTCCTGCATTTTGGTGTATTTTAACAGGTTGTTATACATCAACATTTACGTACATTTGTATGCACTTAATAAATTTTCTGTTTTGGAGAGGAACAGCAGGTTGTGTGTGAATTAGAGCCGCACTGATTCTGTCAGGTGTCCTAATCCCCCTCCTCCCTCCCCTCACTTCACGATTCTGAGCTGAACTCTTTTCCGCTCTCGCTCCAGTCTCGTGGCACCGTTTGAAGCACCAGAAGGATTCAGTTCTATTTCGTATAGTCTTTGCCCTTTTAAGAGCTGTCGCTGGTGGGTTTTATCCCTAAGATGCTCAGCGCTGCACTGAAAACTTTAGTCCACACCCACCTGCTGTGTGGGCCTCTCCCCCGGTCCGTATAAATTTTGGTGAGACCGGGAATCGGCTCCCATTTTTTCTTCATCCAGCTAGCTAGCACTGTCAGAAGAACGAAGAAGAAAAGTTGTCCAGCTTTGATTGGCACAACCTTTGCTAAGGCTGCCTGGGTCTCCGCCACGCCAACCTCCTGCCGTCCCGGGGAGCTCTTCTTCCCCCAGGAGAAGCAGACGAGCAGCCTTGTTCAAGGTAAGCGCTGAGGAGTATTTTTCCGTGGCGGGCCGCTACCCGCTGGACAACGCCACAGCCTTTCTAACGTGTTTGTCCTCGCGGTAACCGAATGTTTTCCTCAAAGGTGATGTTAGCAGCAGACCCGCCGAATGTTTTTCCGTGGGGAGCTGCTACTCACTGGACGATGCCACGCCTTTTCTAACATGTTTTTTTCTCAAGGTAAATTGGATGATTTCCTTGAAAAATGCGTTGTTGTCAGCAGCTCCGCTGAATGTTTTTTTCTGTGGCGGGATGTTATGCGCGGGACGACGCCACCGCCTTCTTTGACGCAGAGTCACGCAGTGAACCAAATGACTCCTCCGAGAAATGTGATGCGGAGCTGCCCCTTCCCTCCTGGAGAGCGTAGTGACAGAAGACGAGTGGCCGAGCAAATGCTCAGCCACCTCGGATCTTCCCACGTTGGCGACCACACCGCTCCCAGCCGTTTGTGCCTTCCTCTCGGAGCTGCCCGACATAATCCAGGAGGATGTTAACACAAGGGACTTTCCGTCCCTCGCCTCCCTCCGCCCTGATTGGATGATCTGGCGGCAAGGTTGGCTCCGCCCGGGCTCATCGCCCTGACCCCATCTGGCCTTGCTGTCCAGTTGTGATTTCATACTGGAACGAGGCTGCAGCTGGGCTGGCAAGCTGAAGATGGCCGTCTTCACCTTCGCCTCCATCTCCAGAGTGGAGGGTTTTACCGATCAGTGTTTTACCCTCGGTCCCACCCCGGAGCCAAGCCTGACGGGTGGCACTTGGGTGGGGGGGGACGCTTCCAGGATGGACCAGCAACTTGTCCCTCCAGGGAAGCATGACCAGACAGTGACAAGGTCTCCAACCGAGATCACCAGTGATCATCCCAGACGGCCGCAGCGAACAACAATGTCGCCCTGCTGGCCTATAGCATCTCGAAGAGGCTGGAAGAAGCAGACCTGCTGGAGGAGACAAGAGCTCTCTTTGTAAAGCTGCTGATGTCATCTTAAACATGTGCAACCTCTGCGATTTGCCTGTCCCGCATCGCCGCCTGGATGACCGTGATCCAGAGGATCACTTGGCTCCGCCTCTCGCCATCCTTGTCCGAGAGGCTGCAGAAAGACCTGCTGGAGGGCCCCATCACCCCAGATGCTCTGTTCAGGGCCAACTTCAGGACTATCCTTGAGGAATCTTAGAGGTTCCAAGGAGGTCTCGGAGACTGTATACCGTCTGGTAACGTCACAGTCCATCTGCCCCTCCGGCCGCTGGAGGGACCACCTTGGCCAGCAACAGCACCAGAGGCGCTCCACAGCTGCGGCAGCGATTTCGCGCCCCGCTCCTCCGCCGGCCCCCTCCACCAGGTAACAGATCCTTGAGGGGAAGGTATGTGTTTTTTGATGATGTATGTTTTGATATAAAACAGAAACACCTCTGAAAGTTTTTTCATCTGAGTCTGTCAGATCAGCTGATCTCTCAGCTGCCTCTCTTCACACAGTCCCCACACAGAACGAGCCAGTAACCTCTAAAAAGCGTTTTAAAAGGCACCACAGTTCAGTAAATATCACAACACTCATCTGCCACATCAGCTAAAATTATGTTTTTTCAGCAGACCTAGTCTGGTAAAATCCCTCGTCTCTCAGCCAGAGCCTATTTTAATTTCTGCTGTTTTTCTGCCCACTCACAGCGCAGCGGGAGTAAACATGTTTCTCCATGACAGCTGCAGCCTCCACCGAAACGGCGTCTCACTCAGAAGTGCTCACGCCTCCTTTGGTGCGTGCCGACTCACCTCAGCTCTATACGAGACCGCAGCCTGTGTCCAGCACAGAGGCACACATACAGCCTTTTTTCTGTTGGAGCCCCCATTGAGTTCCCCTGGAGAATCTCTGGAGCGAGTGATGGCAGTAAGGATTTTTTTTTAGTATGGCTGACCTTCATGAGAAACATGGCACAACACGATTGCTGGCCCGCTCTCCGAGCGCTACTCAGAGTGGCAGCGAGTGTGTTCCCTGGACAGATGGATGGACCATCTGATCAGAAGGGGTTACACGCTACAGTTTGCAGTTCGTATTTCACATTTCCATCATTCTGAAATGCCCCACACACGTTCTCGAAATGCTTGGAGACGGCTCTGCAGTCGTTACCCAAGGCAGGAATGAGAAATCCTTTTATCTGGACGATTGGCTCTTATTAGCTCAATCCAGTTAGAAAGCTGTCGCACAGACCAAAACGCTAGTGTTACACCTGCTAAACCTGGGGTTTCTATAAACTGGGAAAAATTTCTGTTTGTCCGTCCCAGATGATTATCTGGAAGTGAAGCTAACTGAACTACAATGAGGGCCATTTATCACAGCTGAGAGCCGAAGCTGTCAGATCAGCCAGCTCCGATGTGTCAAACCCTGCAGCATAGTGACAGTTCTGCCTGTCATGCGACTCCTGGGACGATGTCAGTGGCCCACATCGTGGTTCCACTGGGCCTACTTCACATGAGACGCCTTCAGAGATGGTTTGCCTGCCTGCGCATAGATCCTGTGTGCCAGAAGAGGTGGATGATCTTTGTGCCCCCCTCCATGAGAAATTATCTGAATCACTGGGGAAACCCCCTCATTCTGTCAGAGGGAGTTCCCATCAGCAGGCCTACATCACACGTCTCAGTTTTTTCACAGACGCGTTCCTGTCAAGCTGGGAGGAATGTGTCTGTCCCAAGCAGTGGGATCACAGTGGCTGGACCACATGTCGCTTCACATAAATGTGCTAGAATGTTTTTTCACGGTCTGAAACGTGACTCAGCATTTTGCCCCTGCTGCGGGATCAGTATGTTCTGATCCACACAGACAACGGTGATGGCAGTTTACATAAACCGTCAGGGAGGCGTGCGCTCAGCCCAACTGTTATGCATCGCGAAACAGCTGTTGTGTTGGCTACACAGGAACCTGCTCTCCATCAGAGCAGTGTACTTTCCCAGCGTTCCTGAACAGGCGAGCGGATATCATGTCGAGGGGCGGTCCCCGCCACAGAGACTAGAGCTTCTATCTTGAGCTGTTTTTCTCAATTTTTTGGAGAAGTTTTTGGCCGAGCAGCAATGGATCTGTCTGTCACATGGGAGAATGCCCAGTGCTAATTATGGTTCTCACTGAGCCCACGAGACGACCCACCGTTAGGAGTGGACGCCTTCGCTTACAGCCCGTGGCCATAAAATGCTCCTTTATGCGTTCCCGCCAGTCCTGCTGATATCACAGTCCCTGGACCGGGTCCGGGAGGAAGAACAGTCAGTCATCCTCGTAGCTCCTGAACGCATATGTGCTCTGTGGTTCCCGAATCTGCAGCGACTGATATTGGGTCGACTGTGGAAACTGTTGTGGGGGGGCACTCTCCTCCAGGCAGGAAGAGCAATCAGGAGTTACCCAGAAATAGGTCAGCATCTTTGGGTCTGTCCGCTGAACGGATCCATTTAGAAAAGATGAGCCTCCTACAGCATGTGGTGTGTACGTTCAGGGCGCACGAGCTGCTTCCACCACAACGTTGTACACATCAAGTGGACAGCTTTTCTCAGCGTTGGTGCACAGAGAAAGGTGTAGAAGCCATCTCATGTCCACTAGGTGGCATGCTGTCCTTTCTGCAGCAGCGGATGGACAGGGATCTAGTGTTCAGCACAATTAAGACTTATGTTGCAGCTATTTCTTCCTGTCACGAGGTTTCTGTGACAGAACAGTTTTTAATCACCTGTTGATGAAGCATTTTCTGAAAGGTGTACAGAGACACAGACCGGTGTCACGTCCACTAGCTTCACAGTGAGACCTAATGATGGTCCTGCACGCTCTGATCAGTGCTCATTCTGAGCCTTTAGATCAGGTTTTACTTAAATTTCTGTCATTTAAAACAGCCCTGCTGTTAGCTCTGACGTTGGCAAAGAGAGTGAGTGATTATCTGCTCTCTCTGTTGCTCCCTCATGTCTCAGAATTCAAGCTGACAGCAGTTCAGCTGTACTGCGTTTTAACCCTGCTCTGAAAAGCATCACAAGCTCATTCAGATCGAGAGTGATAATCTTGGATGGGTTCTTATCCTCTTCCTCATAATTCTAAGGAGGAAGCAACATCTCACCACCTTCTGTCCTAT